CCGGGAGGCGCCACGAAGCGGAGACAGATGTGTGTGGACACACGGACACACAGGCGCGTGGACACGTGGACACGTGGTCAAGCAGACACGTGGACACGCAGACGCACGGGCACACAGACACACGGACGCGTGGACACCGTCGCACGCCCGTCGCACAGACCCACAGACACACGGGCTCTCGCACGGCCTCCCAGACGCGCCTGCCTGACCGAGACAGGACTCGGTTTCTTCTGGGTTTTAAAGAACGTGCGCCCACACGGAGCGTTTGAAAACGCCCAGCAAACACCTAAGTGTCAGCTGGACGCCTGTCCCCCAGGTCGCTGTCACATCCTCGCCGCCTTCTAGCGGTTTGAATTACTCGGTCCAGGGTCAGTTTCTGGTCATGGCCGTGCAAAGCTTCATCACAGCATATTCAAGAGCAGAAGCGAGGGCCTGGCCGGGCTTGGGCGCACTGGCGAGGACCTGCCCCGGTCACTCAGGCCGGTGTCCCTGTGTCCGCGCGACAGGGCCTGGCTGAGGTTCCCTGTGGGCCTTGGGCGCAGCCAGGCCAGGGGGCGGCGGCCCTGACGGACAGGGGTGCAGGGCCGTGGCCTCTGCTGCCCCCTAGCGCCGGGATCCTGGGCTGCTCCTGCTCTGGAGTCCTGCGGGGCCCGGCAGGGAGGCTGCGCTCCAGGCTCTCCCTGGGAGAGGCCGCGCCCTCCGGGGCCCGGGGCGGGCGCGTGGCGGGCACCCCACTGGGCACACCCACGTGAGCTCACGCTCACATACTCGGGCACACACGGCCACGCCAGGCGTGGGGCAGTGGGTGTAGTGACCGCACCAGCTGCTGCTGAGGATGGGGGGGTCCCGCAGACCCCTGGTCGGCACAGCGTCCAGCGGGCCCCTAAATGCAGCCCTGGGCAGGTCCCCGAGGAGGATGCAGGCGCCACGAGCCCCGGCCCTCGAGTCGGGCCGTCCTGGGGTGCCCCTGCAGTCCGGGACACCGCGGGTGGGGGGGCCTGTGGCCGGCCTGGCTGGAAGCAGAGAGCAGGCCGGCTCTGGGGCTGCCTCGCCGGCCCCACTTAGGGAGACCCCCAACGGCAGCGCGGGACCGGGGCCGGGCCACCCGTGGCAGGAGGGCGTGGGGGTCACGCTCGCACCCCTGCGCCAACGTCCAGCCCCCTGGACGTGATGGCTCTGGGCTGTGCGCACCGGGGACCCTGGCTGGGAGCGCTCAGGTGCACCCCCTGCAGTTCCCGTGAGGTGACGGCCCCCCAGAACCCAGCCCCACCACCCTGCCCACCTCGAATCTCCACCGCCAGGGCTGACTTTCTGGGTGCTCTGGGGTGGGGCAGCGAGGGACAGGGAGGGCCAGGAGGCTGGGTCTGTCGCGCCGTCAGTTGAAAGGGCCCTGCGGGGGAGCGGCCATGGCTCGTTCCTGGGGGGACGCCGGCCCGCCCCGGCTTCCTGCCGGCGGGAGGGAGTGTTTTGCCCCGGGCGGTCGCGGGGCTCCGGGATGCCCCTGCCC